TCTCTCTCCCTCTTTCTCTCTTATTCTCTCTCTCTCTCTCTCTCTCTCTCTCTCTCTCTCTCTTCCTCTGCTTCTCTCTTATTCTCTCTCCCTCTCTCTGTCTCTGTCTCTCTCTCTCTCTCTCTCTCTCATTTTCTCTTTCTGTTCTTCATTTCTCTCTCTCTCTCATCCTCTCGTTCTGTCTCTCCTTCCACCCCTTTCACTCTCTCGCTCTCACACACCCTTCCCTTTCACTTCCCTAATAATGGATAATGAAAAACAATGCTATTTCTGGCATGCATTTCGCTCCATTAGTCAGTATCATTTAAAAACATAAAATTGTAGGTAGGTAAAAATAAAGTGTTTCTTAATATAGCAAACATTGACAAAAATATTTGTGAATCTGCCACGTTATCATTATCTTTTTTGTTAAGAAAAGTATTGTACAGTTGATATTACAGCTTCTTATTTGAATAATTTAACGCTATTATAGTTACAGAGATTTGTCATAAGAATTCGCAAGATGTATAAGAAAATGTAAATAAAACGTGTAAATACAAAAAAGTTATTTTAATAATGTCTTGAGCTTTAACGAATATTGCATTTCCATACATATTCTCATTTTAAGGAAACATTTCCATATTCATTTTCATTTTTCAAATACATCCCCTGACCGGTCCTTCCTTTTTTTTCTTAACCCCCCCCCCCAAAAAAAAAAAAAAAAAAAAAAAATCTAGCTCTTCTTTAAAACAATAAGAAAAACAAACTATATTCAGCGTTTCCAAGGTTTCCAAAATCTATAAACCTTGTAAAGATCCTAAACGATGCAACCGATCAACCACCCATGAGAGCGTCTCTTTGCCAAAAAAAAGAAAAAAAAAAACTATATAACAATGATAAATAATAATTAAATAAATAAATGATAATAAAAGAAATAAAATAGAATAACAAAAAAAGAAAAAAAAGAAAACATTCATGACAATAATAACTCATTTTTTTATCTTTTCTCTTTTTTTTTTTTCAAAGGACGCTTTTCTCTCCCAATGCCCCTACAAGACGCTGCTGAAGCGGATGAGGCTGATGACGCAGACGGCGGCGTAGAGCAGGAGGGCCAAGCGGTCGACGACGGCGGCGAGGAGGAGCCACTCGCAGGCGTCGCCGCTCTCCCGACGGCGGATCTCAGAGCTCCCGTCCTCGCCCAGCTCCAGCTCGTCGGGCTTGCGCGAGCCGGCGAAACTGTCGCTGTTTTTGAACACCTGTGAAAGGAGGAGGAGGTGGAGGTGAGATGGGGTTTGGAGGAGGAGGAGGAGGAGGAGAAGGAGAAGAAGAAGAAGAAGAAGAAGAAGAAGAAGAGGAAGAAGAAGAAGAAGAAGAAGAAGAAGAAGAAGAAGAAGAAGAAGAAGAAGAAGAAGAAGGAGGAGGATGTGAGGCATGGTTTGGGCACCTATCGAAGGAGGGGAAGATGGTGGAGGTGAGATGGGGTTTGGAGGAGAAGTAGGAGAAGAAGAAGAAATTGAAGAAGAAGAAGAAGGAGGAGGAGGAGGAGGAGGAGGAACATTACAAAAAATCACATTATATATATATAAAACAAACAAAAGAATCCTCACGATCTGCCTGTAGTTGCCCAAACACAAGCAGGACCCCAGGAGGAGCACAGGCCGCTTTAGGAAGGTCGGCAGGCCAGTAGAATGAGGTCCGCGTGCCATTCTCATCACCATGGCTGACAACACCACACTAATCATCACCAACACCATCTGCTGGCATACGAGCTGGACTGCGGAAGAGAGAAGGGAGGAGAGAAGGTGAGTTTTATATTTACGAGTTGTGGATTACAGTTAATAGAAGGAATTGTGGGATTGATGAAAAGTTGCGCGGTGTTGCCATGCGCTTCTGGGAATCTGGAGAGAAGGAGGGAAAAGAGACCGAAATGGGAATCGATGCATGTATGTAAATGAAAATAGAAATACATACATATGTACGTACATACATACGCGTGAAAACACACACACACACACACACACACACACACAGACAATCGCATTTACACACACACACACACACACTCACACACACACACACCTCTCCACTTGTACATAAAATACCAAAACCCTAAGAGTATCTCACTGATAAACAAAGATAAACCAGTAAAAATGAATAAATAACAAACAAATCAGAATAACCAACAACAATAAAAACAAATAGACAACAACCACAATCAGCTAACCCAACAAACAAAACAATAAAAATCAAAGTAAGCAACAACCAAACCAGAACAACCTACTGATGAGGGGCGTGTGCGAGGGGGCGTGTCCTATGACGTTGGCCGAGTAGTCGAGGAAGAGGATGTTGAGGATGAGGCAAAGGCCCCCGAAGACGATCTTCTCCCCTGCGGCAGGAGGGAGCAGGAACACCACCAGCGTCAGGAGGCTCATGCCTGAAGGGGACGCCGACGAAAGGGGGAAATATAGTTTAGAAAAGTGTTACTGAAGAAGGTATTAATGATTAATGAAGGAGAAAATCGGAAAGAATAGTGAGTATGAGAGAGAGAGAGAGAGAGAGAGGAGGGGGTGAGAGAGAGAGAACTTGAGAGAGAGGAGGGGGTGAGAGAGAGAGAACTTGAGAGAGGGAGAGACAGGGAGAGAGATAATGAGAAATTATGATGTTGGATATATAATGGAAGAGGAAATATAGTGTTGGAAAAAACGGTAAATAGAAAAAAATAAAAGACAAAAAAGGAAATATCCTGTTGCTTTTGTATTTATTATCATTTGCTTTACTGTAATGCTGATATTCTTCAATAGAAAAAAAATATAATCAATTCTAGCGATGTCGAATTGATATTATCATTAATTAAACCATCGTCATTACTGATACTATTATCCATCAAAAGAAAGAAAGGAGAAGGAATAAGGGAACAAAAAATACCGGTAGAAAAATTCAGACATGAATAGTAACCAGCAAGGAAAAAATAAATATATAGAAAACAATAATCCGAAGAAATTAAAATGAAAAGAAAAAACAAGAAAAACGAAAAGAAAAAATGAAGAGTGAAAAAAAAACGAAATGAAAAAAAAAAAAAGTTTAAAAATAAAATTACAACTTGAAACACAACAAACATAAGTTGACAATTAAGCCATACATATCACAGGTGTCTTGACGACCCACGCGAACGCCGGAGCATCTCTCGTGGTAAGTAAGGAGATGGTGACGCTGACATAAGGCTCAGGGCAGCATTGATACACTGTGGATTCTCGCTTTATCGCCAGGTCTGAGATCTTCCACTCTGATTTTGTGATGTCCTTGCCGCTGGCCAGAGTGCGCGTGTTGAGGGTAACCTATGGAAGGGGGGAGGGGGAGAGGGAGGGAGAAGGGGAAGAAATTTTTAATAATAATGTTTTCGTCGGATGTGATTTTTAAAAAAATTGTTTCTACTCGCATATAACTGCATGTACATATACGCACATGTACGCGCGCACACACACACACACACACACAAACACACACACACACACACACACACACATACACACAATCATCCCTCTCCCCCCTTTCAAAAAAAAACACCAACCTTTCTATACCCCCTCCCCCCCCAAAAAAAAAAATAAAAATAAATAGATAAATAAAAGAAAAAAGAAAAAAACGGAAAAAAAACACTCGAAACCCACCTCCAACGATGTACTATTAGCAACAAGATTAATCAAGTGCCCATGATGCACCCACGACCCGAACTTGATCACGCACTCGTGGGCGTCGTGGGGCCAGTAAGTAAGGTCCACGAGGCAGTAGAACTTGAGGTTTAGTGAAGGAATGTGTATGATTTTCCCGTCTGGCATCACTACCAACGGCATGTTCGATTCGGGCATGTGTTCGTTGGCAACACTGTTGGAGGGATTGGTTTTCGTTTGAGATTTTTTTTTTTTTTTTTTTTTATCTTATTATCTATGTATTTGTTTGTATAGTTGTAAGAGTGATAAATAATGTGGTGATGATGGTGATGTTGATGATAAGGGTGATAATGATAATAATGATAACAATAGTAGTAAGAAAAATTCTGATGATAACAATGCTAATAATAATAATGACGGCTATTCTTATTATGATTATGATTTTATTATCCTCGTGGATTTTTGAAGTTTTATCTTTTATCTTTTATCTTTTTTTATCTTTTTATTTTATCTTTTTAGTTTTATCTTTTCTTTTCTTTTCGTAACAACGATAACTAAAATGATGATGGTGATGATGATAATATTGATGATAATAATGATAACAGTAATAATAATGATGATGATAATAACAATAATGATAATAACAATGGTAACTATAATAATAATAACTTCTTATTCTAATTATGAATATGATTATTATCATCATTATCATTATTATCAATTTCATTGTTATTGTTAATGTTTATTATTATTATTATTATCATCATTTATTATTGTTATCATTATTATTATCATTATTATCATGTCATCTTCATGAAGATGATCATCATCATTATTGTTATCATCATTATCATTGTCGGTGTTGTTATCAATACTATCATCATTATCATCATCCTTTCTTTATCATTATTTCTGTTATGATCATTACAATTATTTCTATCATCAACATCATCATAATCACCAACATCATCACTATCTGAATCAACATCATCACATTAAACCACCATCACCACTATCATCACCACTACCAGTCACCACTCTAATACTTAGCCTGTCTCCCCTCCATCATTATCATTACTCATAACCTACCCATTGTATATGGCTAAGTCCGGTCTCCACACTTCGCTAGCGTCCATTCCCAGCCTGGAAACTCCTCCGTAGTCTTCGGGTTTCCACTGCAGGCGTTGATCGTGCCAGCTCTGTAAAAAGGGGGTTGTGTGTATGTATACAGGGAAGGCTTACGATGTGTGGTATAGGTATGATGTTATGTGTGTGTGTGTTTATGTATACGTGTATTTGTATTTGCATATATATGTGTGTGTGTGTATATATATACACATGATATACATACGTATATGTTTATACACACACACACACACACACACACACACACACACATATGTATATGTATGTATGAATGTATGAATATGTATGCATGTATGTATGTGCGAGATGTGCGAGTCAACTCAACATATAACAGTAGTACGACTTACGAAACCAATCCAGCTGTGTACTTCCATTGTGTGCGTATCCTCGTGCTGAAAATGAGTACATCGATTAGAGGGACTTTAATAATAATAATAATAATAACAATAATAATGATATGTATACACACACAGATTTATATCCACATCTATTTCTATCTCTATCTATCTATCCATATATTTATACCTCTATCTATCTATCTATACACATTCTTATATCTATAGATACATCTAACATCTAAATTTGTAACTACCTATTCATTTGTGAATGATATATCTACCTATCTATATTTACTGAAACTGTTTTTCTACCAGTTTATATGTCTATATATATATCTACATGTGCCCTATTTATGTATGAACACACACACACACACACACACACACACACACACACACACACACACACACACACACACACACACACACACACACACACAGATTGATAGATAGATATAGATAGAAAGATAGATATATACACCCGTGATTAGTTAATTCAGATATTTAATCACGTGGACGTACTTGAAAACGTACAGACTTACCACATCAAAGCTCAATAGTTTAAAAGTAGTGATTTCAACCGTAACATTGGATCCTGGTAGCGCCGCCTTGTCATAGTTCTCGTTAATGAATGCTCTTAGCTCAGTCTCTCCAGTCTCATCTCCCAAGGCTAAAAAAAAATAAAAAAAACGAAAGATAAAAATAGTAATAAGAAGATAATATGAAGTTTGATTAGGTAGATACGATGAGTAGGTACGATAAGTTTTTTTTGTCGTTGTGTGGGTTGGAGTGTATCTTTAATAGGTTTTGACAAATGTTGGGATAAAAAGTATGAATGAAAATACATCTATACTCTGTTTTGTTACTAACATATTATGTAAAAGAAGATGTTAAGGAGAATGGATATTTTCACGACCCAAGAGATGTGTTGATAAAGACATAATCGAGACCAATTAAATACACCTCTTGCACTGTTAAGATATCCATTCTCATTCATATATATATATATATATATATATATATATATATATATATATATATATATATATATATATATATATATTATTTTATTTTATTTTATTTTATTTATTTATTTTTTGACATTCATTCACATTCATCTTTATTTCTATGAATGTGTCTGCGTTCTGGGCGCACAGTGTGTGGCGTCACTCAAGGGCCCGTTATTGGGTGCCTCGTATTTGTTGAGGATTAACGTTAGGTATAAGGCGTTTTCCTCAGGAGTACGTACACAGGAAGTAGGGCTAGTGTGGTGTAAATATCCGTATGCTCTTTGCTTTTGTTTCTGTTTTTTCTATCTCTCTTTGTTTCTCACCCCCCCCCTCTCTCTCTCTCTCTACCTCTTTCTCTTTCTTTCTCTCTCTCTCTCTCTCTCTCTCTCTCTCTCTCTCTCTCTCTCTCTCTCTCTCTCTCTCTCTCTCTCTCTCTCTCTTATATACTCAGAAACAGAGAGAGAATGGCTAACAGACACAAAAGATTGAGAGAGTGAGAAAGACGAAGTGAGAGAGGGGAGGGGGAGGCAAAGAGAAGCAAAGTATGTGGGACATAGACGGACAGAAAGAGAGAGAGAGACAGGCAGACAAACATAATCAAAAATAGAAAAATAAAGAGAGAGAAAGAAAGATAAAGAGAGAGGGAGAAAAAAAGACAAAGAAAACAGAAACAGACAGACGGAGCCAAAGTCACGATGACCAAGGACGGGCGAGGCAACGGCCATCCGTCATACAAGCTCACTCGGAGGGGAAATGCTGGTCGGTCCTTAATGATATATCCTCTCTGTGATATTTATTGTTTTTTGGGGGGTTTGATTCCTCTTTATCTACGTTAGTGGCTTATCTTCTTCTATTTCATTCTTTGTTTTTGTTTTTCGTCTTCTCTTTTTCTTTTCGTTTCAATTGTTATGTTTTTTTTTCTCTCTCAATCTCTCTTTCACTTGTTTATCTCCCTCATTCCCTCCCTCCCTCATTCCTCTTTCTTTCTCTCTTTTTTTTCTCTCCCTCCCTCACCCTTTCTTTCTCTCTTTCTCTCTCTCTCTCTTCTCTCTCTCTCTCTCTCTCTCTCTCCTCTCTCTCTCTCTCTCTCTCTCTCTCTCTCTCTCTCTCTCTCTCTCTCTCTCTCTCACTCTCTCTGGACATTTTTTCCTCCTTACAACTATATAAAAAAAGAATGGCGACTCTCTCTCTCTCTCTCTCTCTCTCTCTCTCTCTCTCTCTCTCTCTCTCTCTCTCTCTCTCTCTCTCTCTCTCTCTCTCTCTCTCCGTCTCACAATCTCTTTTATCTCAGCCACTGACATCAGCACAATTTATCACGAGCTTGAGTCTCCTTAATCTAAGAGAATGATAAAGAAAGTGATAAATGGCGTTTATGGTTGCAATTAGATTACTTGACCTCAATAACCCTCTTCTTACTCATGTTTATGTACACAACCAATTAAATCAATTAGAGAATATAAAATAAAATTAAATGATGAATGATAGCTTAATTGTTTTTTTTTTTTTTTTTTTTTTTTTTTTTGGGGGGGGGGGGGTAAGGATGGATTGGATGAGCTTATCATGGACGTATATATATATATTCTGTATGTGTTTGTTTGCATGTGTGTGTGTGTTTACTTGTTTGTGTGTGTTCACTTGTTTGTGTATAATGTGTGTAAGCGTGTGTGCGTTTGTGTGTGTGTAGGTATGTGTAAGTCTGTGTGCGTTTTTGTTTGTTTTTGTGTGTGTAAGTCTGTGTCTGTGTGCGTTTTTGTTTGTGTGTTTAGATGTGTGTGTGTTTGCTTATTTGTTTATGTGTGTAAGTCTGTGTCTGTGTGCGTTTTTGTTTGTGTGTTTAGATGTGTGTGTGTTTGCTTATTTGTTTAGGTGTGTAAGTCTGTGTCTGTGTGCGTTTTTGTTTGTGTGTTTAGATGTGTGTGTTTGCTTATTTGTTTATGTGTGTAAGTCTGTGTCTGTATGCGTTTTTGTTTGTGTGTGTGTTTACTTATTTTGCGTGCGCGTGCATGCCTGCGTAGGTGCGTGCGCTAGTGTGTGTGTATGTGTTTGTGTACGTGTGTGGGTGCGCGTGTGTTTTTGTAGATATGTGTGCGAGAAACATAAATAACAACTACAAAAACAATAACATAAAAGTTAGAAAGACATGAGTTTTAAGCAGCTTCAACAAGCCGGAATATGTGTGTTTGCGTTATCTATCTTGCCAATTCACTTTTTCTTCTGCCTCTCCTCCCCCCCCCCCCCTCCTTCTTCCTTCCCTCCTTCTTCCTCTCTATTCTCTCCTTTCCTTCTCTCCTTACCCCTATCTTCTCCTTCCTTCCCTTTATTAAGTACCTTATCCCCTTCTCCCTTCCTTTTCCTCTTCCTCCCTATCTCTCTCTTCTTTCCTTTCCCATATTACTCCCTCTTCCCTTATTCCTTCTCCTTCTCATTCCTCTCCTTGTTCCTCCATTTTCCCTCCTTTCTTCCTCTCTCTTTTCCTCCCTATCCTCCATTCCTTTCCTCTCCTTCCTATCTCTCCATCTATTACCCTTTCCCTTCCCCTTTTTCATTTCTTTTTCCTTCCTTCCTCTCCCTTCATACTCCCTATCTCCCCATTCCTACCTCTTTCCTTTCCTTCCTTCCTCTCCTTCTTTCTCCTTATCTCCCCATTCCTTCCCCTATCCCTTCCTTGCTTCCTCTCCTTGTTATTCCTTATCTCTTCCTTCCTACCCCTATCCCTTCCTTCCTTCCTCTTCTTCTTTCTCCCTATCTCCCCATTCCTACCTCTATCCCTTCCTTCCTTCCTCTCCTTGTTATTCCTTATCTCTTCCTTCCTGCTCTTACCCCTTCCTTCCTTCCTCTCCTTCTTTCTCCTTATCTCCCCATTCCTGCCCTTATCCCTTCCTTCCTTCCTCTCCTTCTTTCTCCTTATCTCCCCATTCCTGCCCTTATCCCTTCCTTCCTTCCTCTCCTTCTTTCTCCTTATCTCCCTATTCCTACCCCTATCTCTTCCTTTCTTCCTCTCCTTCTTTTTCCTTATCTCCCCATTCCTTCCTTCCTCTTCTTGTCATTTCTTAATAAATAGCAAGGAGAGGAAGAAAGGAAGGGATAGGGGTAGGAAGGGAGGGGGGGGGTAAGGAATAGCAAGGAGAGGAAGGAAGGAAGGGATAGGAAGGGAGAGAGATAAGGAATAGCAAGGAGAAGAAGGAAAGAAGGATAGGCGTAGGAAGGAGGATATAAGGAATAGCAAGGAGAGGAAGGAAGGAAGGAAGAAAGGTAGGAGGGAGAGATAAGGAATATCAAGAAGAGGAAGGAAAGAAGGGATAGGAAAGGCTCAGATAAGGAGAGTAAGAATCCTCCCTTATCTCCCTATCCCCTTCCTTCCTTCCTCTCCATCTTACAACCCTACCCTACCCCCCCCGCCCCCCCCCCCCCCCCCCCCCCCTCCCATGAATCTCGACCAATGATCTTCCTCAAAAGCTAACGGGAAGTGGATAGTTTGGGCTCCCACTCCTCTCCATCATCCGCTGACCTTTTCTATAACCCACCTGGGTGTGTGTTTGTTTGTCTGTGTAGAGGGTGTTGTTTGTTTGTTGTTTTGGTCTGTGTAGAATGTGTTTGTTTGTTTGTTGTTTTTGTCTGTGTAGAGTGTGTGTTTGTTTGTTTGTTGTTTTGGTCTGTGTAGAGTGTGTTTGTTTGTTTGTTGTTTTGGTCTGTGTAGAGTGTGTTTGTTTGTTTGTTGTTTTGGTCTGTGTAGAGTGTGTTTGTTGTTTTTGTCTGTGTAGAGTGTGTTTGTTGTTTTTGTCTGTGTAGAGTGTGTTTGTTTGTTGTTTGTCTGTCTAGAGTGTGTCGTTTGTTGTTTGTCTGTGTAGAGTGTGTTTGTTTG